ACATCATCTATTCCGTTTCGCCACCACATAATTCGGTACTACACTTCCATGTAACTCGACATCAATTTCATTTCTCAAGAAATCAAGTCAATTAAATAAATTGGTATTAATATTTGAATTCAAAAAAAAAATAAAAAAATAAAAAAAAACACTACAAATGTACATTAGAAAAAAGTAAGTCAAAATGGAAAAACATTATGCAAAATAAAACATTACTATTGTACATTTCAAAAGTCAAAATGAAAATGTTAATATAACACATTTTTACGCGATTTTTTTGGATATTATTCTTTTCGGAGAGGAGACAATTCCGAATTTGTATGAATCGTTAAAATTAGTCCAGCGGTTCTTAAGTTATAAGCGTAGTAACTAACACAACTTTCTTTTATATATATAGATATTACAAAATGTACAATTCAATATAGTAAGTCAAATTGAAGAAAATGCATGCGATTTTCCCTTTGGATTATATCCTTTTCTCACAAGAGAACATTTCGAAGTGATGTGAATTGTCAAAATCAGTGCAGCCGTACTTTAGTTGTAAGCGTATATATAGACAATTCTTTTTCGGGGGATAAAGTACTCACAGAGAAGTCCTTGTGTAGAATTTCAGACAATGCCATTGAAAAAATGTAGCTAAAATCATCAAAATACCGAATATCGGGATATACGATATCGTGGACCTATACAGATATTTTTTCGGGGGTAAAGTAGTCACGAGGAACTCTTTGTGTGGAATTTGAAACGATTCCATAGAAATGTGGCTAAAATGATCAAAATACCGAATATCGGTAGGTACTGTTATATGGGAGATATACGATATCGTGGACCTCTACAGAAATTTTTTTTCAGGGGGTAAAGTAGTCGCGAGGATCTCCTTGGGTTGAAAATCAGAATATTCCATTGAAAATATGCCTTAAATCATAAAAATACTGAGTATCGGGGGTACCGTTATATGTGGGCTATACGATATCGCGGATCGAAATAGCTCATCTTCGATCTTGTCTTGCTGCAGACAAAAGACAGATGTGTGCAAAATTTTAGCTTCCTACCTTTATTCGTTTTGACTCTAGCGTGATTACAACGGACGAACGGACATGGGTAAATCGTCTTATAATTTTATGCTTATTATTATTTCGATGAGTTACAAACAGAATGACGAAATTAATAATATTTATGGTCTATTTTACACGCTAAATATTGTCCGATGACCAATCAAATCAGCTCCAAACTCTAGCCCCAAGCTAAATCTTGTGCTGATTTGTTTATTATTGCGACATGCAGAGCAACTGCAAGTCAAGGAAATCTTTAGCGGGTGAAAAAGACCATAACTTTTATGTAAGAAACTATGAAATATTCCATTAACCTCGATTACAGGGTGAGATAAAAATACTGCACCAAACTGCAAAATCGAACGCCATTATTTTTACAGTTTTTTAATTTTATTGAATGAAATCAAAAAATGTCGGAAAAAGCATCAACTTTTAGAATAAGTTTAGATTTGTTCGAATTGGTCACCTTTGGCACGAATTATAGCATCCAAACGACCAATGAAACCGTCACACGCTGTCCGAATGTTGCTCTGCGGTATTTTGGCCCAATCCCGGCAAAGCGCTTGCTTGAGGTGATAGACACTTTGGTATTTTTTATTGCCAACCTTGCTTTCCAAAATACTCCAGACACACAATGGAATTTGGCACTTATCACCAAATTGACCATATTGACAAGTATGTTAAATTTGGTTCAGATAAAGTTGCAGCTCCATCATCATCCATGTTCATCCGTTTTGTTATATTATACCCTACACCACAAGGTGGTCAGAGTATTATGTCTTTGTGCATTTGTTTGTAACAGGCAAAAGGAAACGAGATAGACCCATAGTTCCTTTTGATGATCTGCATAGGTAGAAGAGCTTTTATGATTCATCTAATAAGGGATGCGTAACAACCTGCTGAAGTTCGAATATGATAAGGCGTATTTTTTTTAAATCTATACTAAAATATATAAAATTTTCTAAATATTTACACAAATGTAAATTGAGAATTCCGAAATTTAGTCAGTGGCTTTGTCTATGTCAAATATACAAGACAGAAAAAGTACTAAAGAAGTACTTAAAGGAAATGACATTATTTCCTAGGTATGGAGTGAGGGTGACTAGCATATAAAGTACTGTCTGTACAGCTAGGTTTGGGAGAGGGAGAGTGGAAAAAAATAGTATAAATATAGGGTGAGATGAAAAACCTGCAACCAGACTGCTGTCATTTGTAAGCCACTCTTCCGACAACTGTTAAAATTCTTCCAGTGACAGCCTATTATATGGTTTACCAGAAAAAAAATATTCGTGATGGAATTCAAGCGTGATTTCTTTATATTCTGAGTCGATTTATGCATGTCCGCCCGTCTGTCCATTTATTTTTGTAAACAAAATACAGTTCGCATTTATTTTGCACATATCATTCGTTTGACCCAAGGACGAACCCTACTGAAATTGGAGATAATCGGTAAAAATTTAGATATGGCTCCCATATATATCTTCGTCCGATTTGCTTTTTATTGTGCACCAAACGTGTAATATCAGTCCGAATAGTATGGAATACGAACGTACGATCAGATTGGACCTGAAAATAAGTATGCCAAATTTGATCGAAATCGGTTCAGATATAGCTATAGCTCCCATATATATTATTCACCCGACTTGTTATTTTTGTCCTCCGCAGCCGTAAAATGCATTCTGTTATAACAATATTTGGGGAAATATATCAAATACAGCTCAGAAATACATTTGCTGAATTTTATCGAAATTGGTTCAGATTTGGATATAGCTCCCATATATAACTTCGTCCGATTTAATTTTTATTGTCCACCAAACGTCTAATATTTGTCCAAATGGGATGGAATTTGGCACTAACGACCGAATCGAGCCTAGAAGCTAGTATGCCAAATTTGGTGAAGATCGGTTCAGATATAGCTATAGCTCCCATATATACGGTTCATTCGATTTGTTATATTTGATTGAATTCTCCCATAAAAACTTTTAATTGTTATGCGGAGCTCTACTGAATTAGGAAAGTGGTGTAGGGTATCATAAAGTCGGTCCCGCCCGTCTTTAAGACTTTCTTTACTGGTTTTTATATGAAGTTCTACTAAATATGCATAGGGGTGTATGATATCATAAAGTCGGCCCCGGCCGACTTTTAGACTTTCTTTACTGGTTTTAATTTAACTTACAATTTGAATTGCACATTTTTATACTCTTAGCCATTTGGCTGCGGAGGGTATATATCATTTGATACGGCTAAAACGTGCCTCATCGAAATAATGGTTTTAGACCTTAGGTCTCTTTGGACCAAATCCGTTTCAGGACATTTGGAGTTGATCTAGCGATGTTCGTCCGTCTAGCTGGTGTGCACGATAACTCTCGAAGGAAGTATTCGATTTGATCCAAACTTGGTACATCGTAATATTATTACCACAAAAAATTCGAAATTCTCAAAGAAAATAATTTACTGCACAGAAAGAGAAAAGAATTATCCGATTTTGCTCCAACTTTACATATCCTAATATTTGCATCTGTGCTAGGTCAGGTGCAGAAATGGACAATATCGGTCCACTCTATCAAGTACATTCCCCACGAAGGTCAAAATTTGGAATAATTATAACTCTTATAAAATGTGATGTAAGTGTCCGATTATCTTCAAATTACACACATCGCAATACCATTCCTCCTGGTACCTCCCCCACAATGGGTTACAATTTTGAATAACCAAAACGACCATAAAATCCTATGTAAGCATCCACACATCACAATATTTTTATTAACCCAAAGTCTGGTGTGAAGAATGGAATATATCGGCCCACTCCTTCTGTTACCTCCCCCGAAAATGGTCAAAATTAAAAACATAATCATAAAACACAAAATTGATATCCGATTCCATTCAGACTTAACACATCTCAATATTTCCATCAATACAAGATCTGTTATAAAGATGGTAGAGATCGGACTTCACATTGATGCTCATGTATTTGACGAACATAGCCAAATATCGGAGATACAGGAAACCATATAGAGGAATCTAAATTTTTAAATATTGTTTTGAATAGCCATTAACAGGACATAGGACGTAAATATAGGACAAATATAGATTCTCATGACCTCGTGGTTTCGGTCGAAACCCAAGTAAATGCAGGACTAGGTGACAAGAATTAAGTGAAAGTAACATATTCAATATACATGGAAAACATTTTAAGTTTTAAATTTCTGTTTTTCCGAGGAATCGAATTAGGAACGTCTGCTTGGTTTGTTTGGAAAGTATTGGTTTCAGATCCATGAAGATTATTCCAAAATAATAGATATGAGGATGTTTCTCGGCGGAATATTTATGCTAATCAAAATGGCTTCAGATCTGAAGAAACTTGGCGCAAATTGTAGTGTTGTAGGGTATCAAATAATCGGTTCCGCTCGATTATAACCTTTACTTACCTGTATTCTTTTTTTTGACAAATTCAGTACTTTTTCCAAACTCGCTGCAAATTTTCTTTTAATTTCATCGTTCGACTGAAGAAATATTTCGCAACTTTTTTTAATTTTAGTTAGTTGACATATTTTTTTAAGTTGACATATTTAGAATGTTTGAGTTCCTTTTATGCATAAATTTTTGATTTTCCAATCGGGCTGACCGGAAATGTGTACTTTGTTTTTTTTTTTTCAAAATTTCTTCCTAATCATGTGAATGAAGGTAATATTTCCTGATTTCCATCTGTCTTTGCACTCTTCGATATTTCTATCACCACTAGGTGTAGATATAGGAAGGATACTTGGGTCCCCTTCACCTAGTATTCGATTTGGTTAATGCTACCTCCTTTAAAAACATTCAAAATGCTAGAATATAAAAATCACATTTAAAGTGTTACGTATTTGACTAGGGCCTAATCTGGGGCAGGTTTTTCATATGATTATGTAGTCCTATGTCAGATTTGGTTACTTTCATTTTTTTTGATATATAAATAATAAAATACCTTTACCAAAACAAAAGACTTAAGAAACGAACACGAAAATGCCTTTGGAAAAATGAATAAATTAACAAAATTTAATTCACATTATAAACATTTGCCTTGCGTTTTCGGTGGAAACAAAGTCCAACACAGTTGATATCATTAATAATTTGAAATTAGAAAAAAAAATAATTTTGCGAATTAGTCATGCACAGGAAACAGTTTAAAATAATACATGACACACATTGTACGCTGGCAGTCAGCCAGCCAGAGAACTGCTCTCAACCTCAGTTAACAAATTTTCGTCATCGTCTGAGGCCGTAATTGTGTAGTCAAAACCTAAAAGATTTAATAACTGAGAAAACCGCACTGCCAGAAGAAAATTTCAAGTGCCCTGAAAATATAAATAAGTAATCATTTTTTTTTTTCATTGTTCCCGCTTAAAACACAGAAAGAAGAATTGAAAACACAGTGCACCCAAAGAAGAAAAATTAAAAGAAAACAACAAGCATTTTTTTTAAGAAATCTCGTTAAAAGTGTTTGCGTGTGCCTACATAAAGTGGGTGTGTGTGTGTCTTAGTGTGTGAGAAAAAACCCAAGAAAAATATAAAGAAAAAGAAACGCTCATTTGCTGGCGAAGGGAAAATCTAACGGAAAAATGCAACATTGAACAAAATGCTTTTGGCCCTAAAGCAACATCGAGTACTAGTTTGGCCAGCACTACTACCATTATTATTGTTATTACTATCATCATCGTCGTCATCATCATCATCAGTATTAACATCATTATTATTAGCATTACTAAGGCAACCACGTTACTCCAACAGCAAAAATCAGCAGCAACAACTACAACAAATACATTTTAGCAACGTAAATTTATTTTTTAAAACACCAAGTTTTCAAAGTGATCTTAAAGTTGCTGTTGTTGTTGTTGTGTTTTATTGCCGCCGCTGTGTTGGCCTGTCCACCACACCACCGCTTCAACCACCACAACCGCCAGCACCACGGACTTTGTTGCCACCACCACCACCACCTGTAGTACTACTATTGCTACTTCTCTCAAACCTCTGCTGCAAAGTCAAAGCCGCCAAATAAAGTGACGAAGACCACAACGAAATTTACGGTGACGACGTCGAGCAACGTAAAATGGAACCCTCATATGATCACGAACATCAACATCATTCTCATCAACAGTCGCAGTCGCAGCAGCAACAACAACAACATCTACTAACAAATTACAAGTAATACAATATTTACATTTTTCCCATGACAAAGTTTTTTTTTTTCTACTTTAAGTTGTTGTAGATTTTTATTTTTATTCTCCTTCATTATCATTACAACTTGCTTTACTCCCCTGTACTTTACTATCCGACTAGCATACATGCACGCATACGAACGGTGTGGGGTGCCATATTATATGTTTTGGATTTAAATTTATGGAAGTTGGTACTCTGGGGGGAGTACCGATCTGAAAATTTATTTGAATACCTGCAACACTAAAATTTTTGGATTAAAATAATGGTTTGCGCCTGGGCTGTAATATAGCTCCAAAAGTACTTATGTCACATTTAGGTCGGGAGAATTTTTATATTATATTGTGGTCAGGGTATTATGTCTTTGTGCATTTGTTTGTGACAGGCAAAAGGAAAGGAGACCATAGTTCTTTTAGATGATCGGCATATTGACAATTGAGCCTAGCAAGAAATATTTCAAATTTGATGGACATCGATTAAAATATAGCTATAGCTTCCATATATATTGTTCATCCGATTTGTTCAATTTGTCCTCCACACCCGTAATATGCACTCCGTAGTGGCGATATTCAGGGAAATATATCAAATACAGCTCAGAAACAACTTACCAAATTTCTAAGTTTTTTTTTTTATACCAAATGTTTAATATAAGTCCGAATGCAATAAATTTTGGCATATACGACCGAATTCAGCCTGGTATTTATATGATTTCAAAAGAAATTTTTAACAGATTTTATTTTTTTTTTTGAAAATTTCCAAATTCGTTCAAATTGATGGAGGGTATTCAAAGTTCGCTCCTTCCGTGTTTTGCGTAAAGATGGAATTAAATCAATACCAGTAAGAAAGCTGCATCCCTCCCATAGTGTATGCTTTTTACAGTTTTTTCACACTACATTGCAGGTAATTCTACATATTAGACGTCATACGAAATTTCACAAAGTTTTGTGCAAAATAAAATAATAATAATAATAATAATAATAATAATAATAATAATAATAATAATAATAATAATAATAATAATAATAATAATAATAATAATAATAATAATAATAACAAAAATAATAATAATAATAATAATAATAATAATAATAATAACAAAAATAATAATAATAATAATAATAATAATAATAATAATAATAATAATAATAATAATAATAATAATAATAATAATAATAATAATAATAATAATAATAATAATAATAATAATAATAATAATAATAATAATAATAATAATAATAATAATAATAATAATAATAATAATAATATAATAATAATAATAATAATAATAATAATAATAATAATAATAATAATATAATAATAATAATAATAATAATAATAATAATAATAATATAATAATAATAATAATAATAATATAATAATAATAATAATAATAATAATAATAATAATAATAATAATAATAATAATAATAATAATAATAATATAATAATAATAATAATAATAATAATAATAATAATAATAATAATAATAATAATAATAATAATAATAATAATAATAATAATAATAATAATAATAATAATAATAATAATAATAATAATAATAATAATAATAATAATAATAATATAATAATAATCATAATAATAATAATAATAATAATAATAATAATAATAATAATAATAATAATAATAATAATAATAATAAATAATAAATAATATTACAATATACCAAGTTTAGATCAAGTCCTTTAGAAAAATATCGTACGCAACAGCCAGGTAGCCAGACAGACGGACGGACACCCCTAGATCGTCTCCAAATGTCCTGAAACGTATTTGGCCCAAAGAGACCTAGGGTCTAAAACTGTTATTTCGTTGAGGCACGTTTTGGCCGTATCAAATGATATATACCCTCTGTAGCCATATGGCTGAGAAGAATGAATTTATTGACCAAATACCTTTATACCCAGTATTTGGGTTAATATCCGAATAATCACTTAATTTTGTTGATTATTTACCTATTGGTTATTTAATCACTATCAATCACTTACAACTTGTTAGGATTGAGAAACACATCATCTTGCCTAGTTTCAGGAATTAAAAAAGCTATATGTATATGGTGAACCCCAACAGAATTTCAAGATTCTACTTGCAACTGTTTTGTCTGAGTAATGATGAATCTGTCAAGTCACTTTTTTATGGAAGGGACACAGTGTTCCGATTATGATCATAGAAAATATATAGAACTAAGAAATTGTTGAAAACAGCCAGCTGAGATTCAATAATTTCTTACGTTAATTACAATTTTTCTGTTCTTACCCTATCTTGTTGTAGAAAAATGTCTCTAAGTATTTTTGATTATTATTGCCGCTTGTGGCCGTTTGGTGACTTTGTTGTTGTTGTTGCTATTGTTGTTTTAGTTGTTTGTCGTTTTAATTATATCCAAGTGAAGCGTAGATACATATCTTTTAGATAATAACCATAATAAATAGGGGTGTACAGGCGTAGTTCGCTGTGTGTGACTATGGCAAAGCAAGAGTTTAGTTGTGTGAGTGTGTGTGTCTGTTTGTCGGTCTACGACAACTTGTAGCTTTTCCCTGTGCAACTGCAATGGCAACGACGACGACAACAACAGCTGCAGCCATAACTGCAACAACAGCAGCACAACAACACTGAGTGTTTCCGATTTATTCGTTGTGCCGTTACCTTCTTGTGTACCGACGTATGTATGTATGTTTGTATGTGTTTTATTTACATACCCATGCACATTTTTACATTTTCTGTAATTACTGATTTTCAGAGACACTTGACGTTATGCAGATTTCTACATTTAGAATTTAAGCTAAGTTCACATTCATTGTTGTTGTTGCTGTTCGTACTATTTTCCATGGCATGTTCTATTCTGCTGGAACGGGAATGAGTGCAAGTGTTTTGTGTCGAGTAACCTTTCAAAAGACCGTATCGCCGAATGAATGACTCAACATATTTATCGATTTTAATTTTTGTCTTTTTATCATTTGCTATGCTTTTCGTTATGTTTAGTTGTTGTTGCTATAAATTAATTTAGAAATTAACTACCTAGGGAATAGCGAGGTGTATTTTAATGAATGTCAATGAATAAAATAGATTGTTTCATTTATGGTATGGCAGGTGCAAGCTAAAACTTTCAGTGGAAAACTTTACCAGACCAGGGCAATAGGGTCCCAAATCCCGTTTTTTTTCTGGCCAAACCCCAAAAACTTTGTTTGGCTTGTTTTGAAAAAAAAAAAAAACTTAATATCTGGAAATAATGTACAAAGTCTCAGTTGTGCATTGTTCTCGTCAACTCTTAAAATATGGGCCAATCTTGAAAATTGTTTGTATGAAGGCTTACTCTCTACAAAGAGATTGTAACTTGGTTTTCTCGCCGGCCGAGGTAAGCTCAGCTGTACCCAGCGTCTCCATCAGGACCAACTAAACCTTATGAGAAGAGTAGAATTCTCACGTTCCTTGGGCTAAAAATCGAATGTTTTATTGATTTTTATACCCTGCAACATGCATAGTATGGAGGGTATATTAAGTTCGTCATCCCGTTAGTAACTCTTAAAATTTTTCAAGTGGCAGCTCATCATATTGTGTACAAGCGTACAAAAGCATTTTGGTGAGAATTTTCCAGAAAAAAGTTAGTCGTGATGGAATTCAAGCGAGATATATATTTGGCTGGAAACTACAAGTGGGTATCGTTAGAGCACTCCAGCATTTAAATGTGAATAAATCTTTAGTGTCTCGTACTGGTAGCGTAGCTCGACGTCAAGAAAGTTGATGGAAAAACAGCAACATCAGCAGAAATGGTTCGATAATAAAGAAACGACCTAATAGAAACGTCACAGTGGCCGAAAATGGTACGTGAGCTCAACATATCGCAATATTCCATTCGGCAAAATATTGAAAAATGGCTTTACCATTTAAATTCCAAAAAATGCAAGAACTTACACCGCAACAGAAAAAAAGACTCAAAGGGGCTAAGTTTCTATTCTAAAATTTTATGCTATTTCCGACATTTTTTTGCTTCCATTCAATAAAATTAAAAAAAAATGTAAAAACTATGGCGTTCGACTTTGTTGCAGTTTTTATCTCACCCTGTATATTATTGATCAGCGTAAAATTCTCAGACGATTTAGCCATGTCCGTCCGATAGGAAACTTAAATTTTGCACCTATCAGTCTTTTGTCTGCAGGCAGGTTAAGTTTGAAGAAGGGATATATCGGTCCACGATATTGTATAGCCCCCATATAACGGTACCCTCCGATATTCGGTATTTTGATGATTGTTGCTAAATTTTTCAATGAAAATTGTGTAAAAATCCTTACTAGAAATTCTGTCTAAGCACTTTTCTCCCTGGAAGAGAAATTTCTCTCTGTCCACGATATTCGATATTTTGAAGATTTTAGGGACATTATTCACCGGGATTTTTTCAAATTTCGTAATTAGAGTTCGTAATAGGATAGGATTTTTATCGAATTTTATTTATTTAAAAATTATTTGGGAAATCGAGGTTGATGCTCTTAGTTCCATTGGTGTTCGGGATGTTAACGATTTTAAGGTTCTGCTTCTGATCTCATAGCCAAGATATCGGTCATATACCAAAATCTATATAAAAAGAATATGATGTTAGTTTCTACGTATAAACTCAAGAACGGTACAAACGTAAAAAAATAGAAAAACTCATGTAAAAATATGCCAATCAAAATTTGCATATTTTTTTATATTGAATTGTAATTTTTATACCTTACAGCACTATGTATTGGGGGTATTATAAGTTTGATTGGGCCAGAATTTATGTAACACCTCGAAATATTGGTTTCCCATATAGGAAAGCATATATGGATCTTCCTAGCTCGCCGAGCTGAGTCAATCTAGCTATGTATGTCCGTCCGTCCGTCTGTCCATGTTAATTTGTAATCACGCTACAGGTCGCAATTATGGCCGAATCCTTACGAAATTTTGCACGAAGGCGGTCAGAATAGAAGCCTATTTCTTTTGGAGATGATTGCCAAA